AGGAGTTTTTAGATTCTATTGTTTGTAATACTGTTGAAACATATCTCTTTAGTGGTCCATTTTCTTGCAATTGCTTCTGATATTGATGTGGTCTTAAAGTGGTGTAACTTTGTTTGTCCTAGAGCTATTTGGATCTTAACATGAAGAAACCCGAATGAAAATTCTTAACCTTTTATGATTTGGTTCAGCCAAAAATATATAAATATAACTTTGCAAAAAAAATTAACAAGCATGTTAGTTAAGTTAGCTCACAACAACAACAAAACCACTTTCATGAGACGCATAACTTTATATAACAATAAATAATGCAATTCCTAATCCCATTGTAAATTTCGAAATTCCGAAAAATATATACTATCTATGATATTCATTAGTTATCTAATTGGGAATATTTTATTTATCTATATATCCTTTTCTAAATATATGTTTCATGTATATAATCTCTAAACATTGATTTCTGGTTTGCTCTCTCCATCTCTCGTTCTCATATTCTAATTATTGACTTTGATTTCCAGAAGTTGTTAATTGATCACACAGGCGCTATGAGGTGGAAAAACCTTCCGGTGGATTTGCAAGAAGAGATACTCTCCAGGGTTCCTGCCACATCTCTTGCACGATTACGATCAACATCAAAACAATGGAACTTTCTATTGAAAAGTGAGAGATTTGCTAAGAAACACTCTACTAATGCACCAAAAGAGTCACTGGTTTTCATGTTGATGGATTTTAGGGTTTACTTAGTGAGAATTAATCTCCATGGGATCCACAACAACGTTGCTCCATCTGTTATGTATGAATTATACTTCAAGGATCCACTTTTCGATTCACAAGTCGATTTACGTAATGTTTTTCACTGCGGCGGCTTATTACTATGCACCACCAAAGACAATAGACTCGTGGTTTGGAATATATGTTCTGGGGAAACCAAGTGGATTAAACCCACAAATAGCTACAAGGAATCTGATATCTTTGCTCTTGGTTACGAGAACAAATCTTCTTGCAAGCAATACAAGATCCTGAGGATGGAAGTTCAACACAATGATTTCCCAATCTATAATCAAGATGTCCATCCCGAGTACGAAATCTATGACTTTACCTCTAATTCTTGGAGGGTTGGTGGTGTGACTAACGATTGGCGCTTACGACCAAGTCTTAATGATGGCATGTCTATGAATGGAAATACTTATTGGCTTTGTTTTGATATGACTCATCATAATTTCTTACTAAGTTTTGATTTTTCAACAGAAAGATTTCAAATTAGTAAGTCTCTTCCTCATTCTTTTCCTTGTATCCCTGTGGCTTTATCAGTGGTTAGAGAAGAGCAACTTTTTCTGTTAACTACTGATTTGACCGGTGAGAAAACATATGTATGGGTGACAACTAGTACCGGACCATCCATGTCATGGAGTGAGTTCCTAACACTGGAAGCCAAATTTAAGAGTAGTAAGTTTTGCGTGAGTTTCTTGGTCGACCAGCAGTACAAAGTTGTAGTGTGGTGCAGTAAGTTCTCGATCGACAACAAAATCTTAAACATCGTTGGAGAAAATAAACACATACGAGTGGATCAAGGTGGAGATTCTACATGCATGTCATCTTGCTCACTTCTTCTAAATTATGTTCCAAGTTTGGCTCAGATCCAACAAAGTTCTCTACACAAAAGGAAAGCACCAAGCAGGTGACTTGTAACTGTCAAACTATTTTATGCATTATCTATCTGATAATCCAAGTCCCTTGTTCTTGTTTTCTTTAGGGACTTTCATATGTTTAAGATTTTCTGGTTTGTTTTCAAAAAAAAAAAAAAAGAATATAGCTTTCATGAAAAGAATGAAGCAAATACAAATCAAGCAATCGCTACAAAAGAATCAATCGTCAGTCCCCAATCTTATATTCTTAAAGTGAAGGG